TGATCTCGTCTGCAGAGCTTCGACTCTTCCGGGAGCAGGTGGACCAGGGCCCTGACTGGGAGCAGGGCTTCCATCGTATAAACATTTATGAGGTTATGAAGCCCCCGGCAGAAGTGGTGCCCGGGCACCTCATCACACGACTACTGGACACAAGACTGGTTCACCACAATGTGACACGGTGGGAAGCTTTTGATGTGAGCCCTGCGGTCCTTCGCTGGACCCGGGAGAAACAGCCGAACTATGGGCTGGCCATTGAGGTGACCCACCTCCATCAGACACGGACCCATCAGGGCCAGCATGTCAGGATTAGCCGATCGTTACCTCAAGGGAGTGGGGATTGGGCCCAGCTCCGGCCCCTCCTGGTCACCTTTGGCCACGATGGCCGGGGACATGCCTTGACCCGACGCCGGAGGGCCAAGCGTAGCCCCAAGCATCACCCACAGAGGGCCCGGAAGAAGAATAAGAACTGCCGGCGCCACTCGCTCTATGTGGACTTCAGCGATGTGGGCTGGAATGACTGGATTGTGGCCCCACCAGGCTACCAGGCCTTCTACTGCCACGGGGACTGCCCCTTTCCACTGGCTGACCACCTCAACTCAACCAACCACGCCATCGTGCAGACCCTGGTCAACTCCGTCAATTCCAGTATCCCCAAAGCCTGTTGTGTTCCCACCGAACTGAGCGCCATCTCCATGCTGTACCTGGATGAGTATGACAAGGTGGTACTGAAAAATTATCAGGAGATGGTAGTAGAGGGTTGTGGGTGCCGCTGAGGTCAGGCCTTCCTTGGGGACACACACACACACACATCCATCCACTACTCACCTACACACTACACAGACTGCTTTCTTATAGCTGGACTTTTATCTTAAAAAAGAAAAAGGAAAAAAAAACCTAAACATTCACCTTGACCTTATTTATGACTTTATGTGCAAATGTTTTGACCATATTGATCATATATTTTGACAAAATATATTTATAACTACGTATTAAAAGAAAAAATAAAATGAGTCATTATTTTAAAGGT